GGTTTCTTCCCTCGGGGGAGGGGGGGGGGTGGGGATGGTTAAAAGACCCCTTTGGCTCCAAGTGCTCCAAGCTAACGAATCCGGTAGCCGAAATCTCTCTTTCGAGAGCCCGCTTGATTTTCAGCTCGCCGAGCCGCTGGCGAGCGGCGCGATCGCGTAGGTGGGTGTCCGAGTCATGCAAGCGGCGAGGAGGAGGAGGAGGTATCCGAGTGCAAGGGCGCAGCTCGACCTGGCGGCGACGAAGAGGAGGAGGAGGATCCGCGAGGAGTGAGGACGCATCGGCCGGGAGGCACCGCGCGCGAATGATTTTCTGACAGCCGCGTATCTTCCGTCTCTCTGCCACCCGCCTGAGAGGAAGCCTTAGGACGAGGAGGCGCGTCGTGAATCGTCCGGAAGATCCTGAGAGCGAGGATGGACGAGGACGACGCGGAGGGGGTGCGTGCTGGGAGCACGAGGATCAGCAGCGTGAAGTTCACCTCTCGGAAGGTGACTTTGCTGGCGCAGGAGTCGGCGGAGGACTCCGACACGATGGAGTGCGCCTCGGAGAACGAGGTGGAGAACCTGCCGAAGGACGAGGAGGGCCAGCTGAGGCGCGGGAGGATGGACGAGAGGAGCCGGTACTCCCTGGAGGTGCCGGACGAGGTCGAGTCGACGTTGCTGCGCAGAAGGACGACCTCGTCGACGACGACGACGACGTTGTCGTCGTCGCTGCGCGTGAACGAGGACTCGAGGTACTCCGGCACGCGACTCGGCTTCTTCATGACGACGAATCGTAGCCCGCAGTCCAGCTCGAGCCAGGAGGAGTACGAGCCCGAGGTGAAGAGCATCTCCAGGCTGCAGATACGCCAGCAGCAGCAGCAGCACTTATTGACAGCCGGGGTGAGCGGCCAGGCGACGGCGAGGTCGATGGAGAGCCTCCGCTCGTCCCGTAACTTCCTCAGCGCGGACGAGCGTTACAGCGAGGACTCGAAGTCCATGGAGTCGCTGTCCTCGTCGTCCGAGACGCATGTCGCCTCCGGCAGGAGCCACTACCGGAGCTTCCTGACGTCCTCGGCGAGGGACGTGCGCAGGATCGCGACGCAGGTCGAGTCGAAGAGCAGCGAGAACCTGCACCGCGAGGAGAGCCTGAACGCCGAGATGAGGCGCGGCCTGTTCGCCAATACCGGCCTCGAGAGGAAGATCCCGCAGCACCTCAGCCTGCCGCCCCCGTCGAACGTGTTCTCGCTCACCAGCCCCGGCGGCAGCGACCGCAAGATCACGATCCTCAGCCCGCACTCGCCGCTACAGTCGAGCGAGTTCCAGTTCGCCCAGCAGACCCTCAAGAGCCGGCGGAAGAAGGCCATCGTACTGCCGAGGTTGGTGTTGCCCCGAAGCGAATCCGAGGTCTTTCTAGAGTGAGTAGTCGAATGAATCGAATTTAGCCGCGCTCTCTGCGTCTTCTCTCTGTTGCCGACCCACCCTGCCGGCCACGCGCGTCCCTTCCGTCGTTTCAGCATCCCCGCTCGAACGCGAAGAGCGATTTCTCATGCGGAATCGCGCACGGAGAGCTCCGATACCGAGGCGCCATTTTGTTTCCGCCGAGCTTTCCGGCTCGACCGGAGGTCTCGAGGTTTGCCGGAGCGGACGCGAACCGGCGACACTTTTCCGTCGAAGGATCGTGGTAATCCCGCGAAAGTTATTACACGTTAGGCATCCAGAAAAGTTTTTGCCGTTTTTTGTTGAAAATAATTAAAGGTATCTTTGTTTTTCGAATCAATTGCATTCGCCGAAGTATGGGTGCTTGCAGTTGTATCTGTTAGTTCGAGTTAAGGGGGCAGGTACACATTAGTTGCCGGTCATGAAAGTTCTTAATTGCGGCCTACTTCAAGGCGGCAAAGGTCTTTTCTGGCTACCTGAGATTTCCTTGCGAATTACTATTTTCTCGGATATTTGAGGATCGACGTATCCAGAAACGAGGCCCCAAAGTCGACATGATACTTAAAGGAAACGATAAAAAAATAGGAGCACTAAAATTATATTATTTTGTATATTTATTATATATCCTTATATGTTATCTTTAATCTTACATATTTTTTAAGACGTTCAAAATATTTCACAATATATATTTTTCCTTTATTATATAGAAAGGGATCCTGAAATTTTTTCCGACCATCTTAAAGAAACAAATAAGAAAAATAGAAGAAAATCAGTCACCGGTAGCTTCAACTGTATTTGAAAAAATGATATTTTACAGCAAAGTTCAGGCATGTCGATTTGCAGAACAAGCTAATCCTAATTTTTTTTACGGGGTTCAGTGACGAAGGATAAAAAGATTGGCACAATATTCAAAGCGATTTAAAAGTTCAAAACTCACATTATAAAATAACATTATCAAATGAATTATTTACTACTGATTTATGACTTTTCACAAGATAGCTGAAAGAGGACTGAAAGAGGACATAGTAAAAAATAAAACTACCTTAATAATATAACCGAACAAATCTAAGCCAAAAATTAGGAAACCGTAATTGTTAAATCTTGAATTATTGCGCATAGGAATATAGAATTCTTTTCTTAAAATATGCATTTTTTTACCTTTTTCTTGTGTGCGTAGAGTCAATAAACTATTTTCTCTCATACCTCAAATTATTGAGAAAAGTTACTGAAAATGTTGAATTGTTAAATCATAGATTATTGTGACATAGTTTTCTTTTCTTAAAGCATACACATTTTTTTACTTCTGTGAAGAATCAATTCACTATTTTCATTTATTATTGGAAAAGTTGCTGTGAAAATTACCGAAAAGAAATGAGCAAAATTTTACAAAGGAATTACCCGAGGATTTTACAGACCCCATGCGCCAAAGTAAAATATGCCGACGTAAGGTTAATTATTAACTTTGTGCACAAAGGGTGCTGCTGCGACGTAATTCAAAATTTCTAAGAAAATTCAGGAGACGCAACGGTAAGCGTCTTTCGGGTTTTAAGTCAGTTTTAACATTCTAACGCGCTCGTTCGTTGAGTTTTACACGAGAAAATAAACTCTGCTAGTGTGATCGAATATTTCGCGCGTATTGCCTGGAAAGAATGGAAAACCAGAAAACTCGGTTGTAGAAACCGAGCAATTTCTATAGGAGGTTTCAATAGATTCAATCAATTGCTCTGAATTATTTCAATCGAACTTTAATACAGCTAAGTGTTCAAGCAAACATTTCCGGTCGCGGCGACAAAAATACCACTTCTTGTCACTGAATTTTCATCTGATCCCCATTCAATTACGCGAATTGTGATTTCTCCCCCGTGTAACAAATGTCAATAAACGCTGCTACGGCGCTTTTGGAGCGCAAAAAGTTAACATATTTATTGTGACGTCATTGATTACTTCCACTGATTACGCAGGCCGGCAACAAAATATTTGCCAAGCAACTCTAATCAAACTAGGCGTGTCCTACAGATTTTCGGTGACAAAAAAACAATACCGCCGACCAAATTGCTCCGTCACGTCGGATTTTAAAGTTATTTCGAATTTTAAGATGAGAAATTAGCGATTCGTAGGAAAAAATGCACAATAAATCACTAACCGTTAATAAAGTAATAAAAATAGGTAAATGTTCGATTTACACACTCATTCTTTATTAACAAAGGATAAAAAATCGTTTCACAAATAGCAAAAATAATTGTTTATTAAGGATGCAGCGCGTAGAAAAACAGGCACGTTTTCACGTTCGGCAAGATTAATGAGAACGAATAGCCGGTTTTCAGTGTTACTTGACAAACAACTTTTTTGTCGTGGGTTACTTCAACGTTTGACTCAAGTTTGAATCGCCGGAGATCCGGTAAATAAATGTAATTCGCTATGCACATACTCGTCAGCTCGTCTTAGCCGCAGCTATATATAAGTTTATTCATATTCTTATACATTTAATTTGTCACATAGTCGTTTATATGTTTTATTCAAATGAGACACGGTGAGTGTCGCAGCAGCACAGGCAAGGTGTTAAAAGCACGCGTATTCGCATCTCGAACCGGCATTTCCGGCAGAAATGGATTTTCTGATTTGGTCGGGCCGGGCAAACCACTTCCGACGGAGCGATTCGCTCGCTCACGACAGCCGGGATTGTTTCGCGAACGGCGTGTACAATCTTTCCTATCTCTGCCGCGATCCGCGACGATAATTCCTCGGCCATGTTCCAGCAATCCGGCGAAACCGCAGTAATTATGTCGCGTCACATTCTGAGCACGAACATACGTTGTTTTGTCGACCGCACGCGAGCACCGTCACCGACGCGTCGATCAACCGGGACGCACCGGTTCGAAAATAGACCGCGCGTCTACGAGGCATTCGGGCTTGGAAGCGGCCGGGGATGCCGATGAATCCAACGGGGAAACGCGAGAATAATTTCAGGAAAATCCTCCTCCTCTGCCGCCTCTGCGTTATCGCCGGGACGAGAACGTCGCGCGCGGCGTTCGCGGATGAACTTCGACGAAGGGAAAACAGACGGAACCTGGTCGGACTTCGAGAGAGTTCGTGTCGACTCCTACTTGCGATCCGATTAAAACTCGCCGTCACACCGGGGGAAACCGGCCGCGCGGAAATTCGCTAACTCGGCTTCCACAAATTCGCAAGCACGCGACGAAACGCGGCCCTCCCGATTCTCGGCGGGAACTAATGTATGCGCGTGGATGCACGCGTGAATTATTTATGAGCGGAAATGCGACGTGGTGGAAATGTATATACCGGCTCTTTGCGTCTCTTGGATCTTTCCTTCCCTTTCTTTTCTTTTTTCTGTTTCTCACTTTTTTTTCGGTTTCGGTGAAATTAAATCTTCGTCTGAATACGCGCGAACGAGACGTCACGAGCGAAAGTCGAGTGCAAATGTCGGCTCAACATTGATCCTGCGAATACTTGCTCGATCTCGAAGAATGACGGATGCCAAAATGTAACATTAAACCCAAAGTAGGAAATAATTGTAGGCGAGATACCAGCTCGGTACCGATTTTTAGTAAGCAGTATTAGGTACCAGTACCGATTCGATATTAGTGGAATACTGAGTTGATAGCAATAGAGTCGGAATATAATACTGTATCGATACTGAGTTTTACAAATTTATCAAAAACTATCGATGCCCAATACTGGGACAATACCGCCTCCTACTAATAATTATTATTATTACTGTACCCAGAAAAATGTTAGAATTAAGTAAACTTGCTTTTCGGTCTTTTAAATCAAGTAATATTTTTATCAATTTAAGTATATTTTACTAGCTTGGAATAAATACTTGAACGCATAATACCATAATTTACAAATGGATTACTAAATATAAGTGTAAAATAATTCTAAACTTGAAAATGTATTTACTAAAATCGTGTAATAATTTTTTTTCGCTGAGGAAGTTTAGTGATTTTAAATTCAGCTTTTTCTGCTTACTAAATATTATATTCTATTAAATGCTTTCTAAAAATAAATTCTGATATTCTCAACATTACGAATTTAGTATTTGTCGCAATTGTTTTAACACATATAAGCAAATATTTATATATACGAAGAAAATATCATATTTTATATAGCTAATTATATTCCTGCTTCTAGTAAATATTTGTCAAGGAGTATTGCAATAATCATTTTACCTGAATCAAATAAATATTACTTGAACGGTAGCACCTTTTGCAAGTATACAATTGTTAATATAACAACCACGTTATAGGAAGAAAGCTCAGGTGCTATATTCTGTACGCGTTTATCGACAACTGTCGGTTCGATGTGTGTCGCAGGTATAATCGTAGCATAAAATAACTGCGCAACAATACGTAGCGTACCGACAGTTGTCGATAAATATATACAGAACAGTTCAGCAGGCAGATCTCTTACTTTCAACAACAGCGTCATCGTCGTGACGGTGCGGAGCTTTTCCTCGGATGTTATACCTGCGACACCGTAACAACAACGACGAAAGTCGTTAAAAGTTAGAGATGATTATTGTTGATAATAACGAGAACAGACGTGACTTTTGAGCGTAAATTGTAATTTAGTTTTATTTTTGTTTATTTGCGACTTGAAACTTCTTACTTGTTACCTTGCTTACTAATAGAAAAATAAATTTTTGTGCGAAAAATATTGATTATAGGGAAACGAGTGATTTGACACCTCGGAAGGTTGCGGAGGTAAAAACGACGATTGACATCCAAAATTATTCTAATTGAGTAAAAATAAAGTCAGTAGCTTTTCTTCTCCTGCTAACTTGTATTCTATTAAATAATCAAGCGCGTCTAATAACATGACCAGGGACTGTACATACGATTCCTAAATGTCTGTCTCGATGCTCCAAGAAGCTGCTTATTGAAAATCCAGCGACTCGCCGGTTCGGACGACTCGCTCATCGAAAAAAATCGCGCGGTTACTCTCCCCGAGTTATTAT